AAAGGAAAATTCCAGTAGTGAGGAATTCTTTGTGTTCTTTTTATCTTTGTTGATTTGATGTCTCTCCAGAGGCTTCTGTCTTCACTAAAGAGCTCAGCAGCTTCTGCCCTTGAGCAGCAGGCCCTTGGGGCTAACTTCGAGGAAGAGGTACCTCACTCTTTGTTTAGGGATGTTGCTGTCTACCTGTGTCCCCACCCACGGCAAGAGAGGGCAAGGCCAAGGATCCTTCCCTGTAACACAGTTGCTCCCCAGAGCTTGAAATCTGGATGGTGGAGTGTGAAATCAGAGACTCTGCCTGCTCCCTGGAATCCTCACTGCCGTGTTCAGGATAGAGCTCTCAAGTGTCTCGGTGAAAATGCCACAGGAGAGCTAAAAAAACAGAAAGAGAGAGAGAGAGAGAGAGAGAGAGAGAGAGAGAGAGAATAAAGAGCACTGGATTTCTTTCTCAAACTCATTCCCCTATGTTCTTTCCATCCTGGGTCCACACTCTTGGCTTCAAAGCCTGTAATAAGGCTTCTAGAACAGTTCTAGGAAACGGTGCCATCTGTTTATAAACAGAGAGCCGAGATGTTGAAATGTTCCATCACGGGGACAGGACAAACACGCTGTGACAGAAGCTCCCCGAAGCTTTGTTCCCTCCCGTTTTGTTTTCAGTTCCCGCGAATACTCGGCTCTCTGGATGAGTCTCCATTTGTGCTAGCACCCTCTCATTTTTCTGATGGCTTGTTTGTTCAAAAACGCGATAACTGTTGCCAGAGGAGATAAAACTTGGCATTTCACTAGCACGATTATAGCAGGCCAAAAAGCAACCGCCATCCGAAAGGTAGGTCATGAGGAGGCCATGATGAGATGATGCTGCAACCTGGTGGTTGACAACGAAAAAGGTTCTAGGGCTGAGGGATGACTCCCAAGGACCAAGGTTCAGTTCCCAAAACCCACAAAATCCTCTGTAACTCCAGTTAAAAGGGAACCAACGCCGCCTTCTGGCCTCTGTGGACACTGCCTTTACATACTGCTCATTTATACATATAAACAGTTAAAATGCTCATACAAAGAAAAATGAATGAATCTTTTAAAAGTAAGTCTTGTAAAACTATTTCAACTTATTAGCCAACAAGCATTAATCGATAATGTTATCTAGAGCTAAAGCTAAGTTGTTGTGCTGATGTAGCCCTTGAAGAGCGCTGTCTTGAGTTACCGGTTTAATCTGGATCCTTTTTCAGTTTTGTGTCAGAAGTGAGGTAAGAGGCTGGGCAGTCAGGAAGACTCCACGGACTCTACGGAAGCCTTTCGGGCCTCAGAACTTTTAGTCTTAGGAAACTGTGGGTATCATCCGGTGCTAGCTTCCACTTGAAGCTTCCCTTCCTTGGACCCTAAAGAACTCCCAAGTTAAAATATTACCGTGCAGTGGGTTTGCAACTGCATCTCTCAGACCTGACAAGGGCCTCTTCTGCCCTCAGTGCGCCAGTGTCCTGATTACTCCGCAGGTGCTTTAAGATCTGTTACATGTGAAAATACATATAAATTTGAGATGACTGAGTTGTGAGTATACACTGATCTCTAGAGAGATCATAGACTGGATTTCCATACTGAAGCTGCTCGGTGAAAGACATTCTAGACTCTAGGTTAGAATATCTACCGCTATCAAGTTTATAGAAACACAGTTGCCAGAGAAATCTTTACACTTACTTGGCAGGATGCTATCTTCCAACTTTACCAGTCAGTCATATGATTTGTACGTTCTGGGGCAGGCCGATCAGGTCTTCATCTACTTGTAGATGACAGATCTTAATCTCATGTCAGATATTTTAACAGTCAACCTTTGCAATCGTATCCGTAGTAAGAAACAATGCTTGGGAATCTTTTACACTGGTGATAGAATCATTTAATTGAAATGTGTATCATTGCATCCTCTCTTGGAGTTCTTTCAGGTGATGAGTTGGCTAATGCCATAGCTAACGTGATAAAACTGATTCCTACAGTGCAGCCTGGTACCACCCCATCTGACTGGCACAGTCCAGTTCTCAGCCCTGTGTGTTCTACTGAGGGCTAACCAGAAGCACATCTGCCAGCCTCTGCTTTCAAACGCGTCTCTCTGATCTCTGGGGACTGGCAGGTTTTTATATAAAACAAACTAGATAATAGATGTTGAGAGGTCTGCCTGGTAAGAACCTGTTGTCCTGGCCACTGTAGTTGGAGATTCAGACCCCAGTGTCCCCATTAATTACAAGCTCAGCAGTAGTCACACGGCCTCCTTATGCTGTGGTTTTCCATGTAGGCTGTGGTGATGGGCTGGATCCCAAGAGCCTGCCCAGGGGATCTGAGAAAAATGCCTCCAGTGTACAAGAGGAAAGTGTTGTTATGTGTACCAAGTGTTTTTCCACATCATGTGGGGGTACATTGTAAGTTTCCCACCAACTCTGAAATCCAGTGTGTGAATTGTATCTTTTCCAGTCCTGGGTGTCTCCTTTCTTCAACGGCATCAGCAATGGTCCCAGCCCTAAGTGAAAGCTCAGGGGATGTGTTCACGAAGAAGGTCTCAGAGGGTGATCTAGTTAGGATGTCAGTGCTGACACGGGGGCCGAAGAACCTTGTTGTTCTAATCCAGAGCCACAGAAGGGTCTCTGCATGATCTCTAGGAATAGAGAGGTCTGTAATGATGTCCTTCAGGCTATGGCACTCGGACCCTGCAGGTCATAGAGGGGTGGTTTCCTGCTCCCCGCCCAGTGATATCAACCACTACACTGAGTGTTCTTAGGAACCTGATTCCTGGCATTGTCTCGCCTCTTGCTCAGGATGAGCATTTTGATCCTTATATGAGAGATGCCTGGATCAGGCCAGTGCCTTTCCCACATAAGTAACCCTTGCACTTCCTGGCGCACAGTATAATGTCATGTGTAGAAGTCATGTGTAGTCATGTGTAGAAGGCACACGAAGGTGTCAGTTTCTGTCTTCTACCTTGTTTCTGAGGCAGGGTCACTCTTATTGTTTATTGCCATGGGGCTCCATACTCCAGAAGAGCTGGCCTAGGATCTTCTGAGGAATCAATTTCTGACTCTCACCTTGCCATGGGGTCCCTGGAATTACAGACACAATCGACCACATCGCAATGTTTACATGGATTACAGGAACTGAACCCAGGTCATCAGACTTGCAAAACCTCTTTTATCCACAGAGCCATCTCCCTGGCCCCTCTTCTTGTTCTTCACAGGGGACTGGAAGAGTGGCTTCCTTTTCCATGAACTTGATACCTCTTCTTTTCCTACATTTCTTATGAGGATGTGACAAACTATGGTATTTATAGTTGGTCTGACGTTTTCTTGCATTTAGTAAAAAGCAATTATGATCTTTTCAACTTGCTGTGCTCTCAGCAGCCATCAAGCTTGGTATTTTGCATGTGGCATTTCTGTCTATCATTATTACATAGGAGTCTCATTTATTTTGATGAGTGCAGTTATGAATAAATGAATTTATCTCTTTAATATTTCATAATGCTAGATCATTCAAAAGCTCTCATTAGGATCTAAAATAGTTATTATTATTTTAATACGATTATGGAAATAAAATAAAGACCTTTATAAATACATTATAAATATTCCAGAGGATTACATAATGTTAGAAAGGAGACGATAACTCATATTAACCCTGGGAGTGGTACTTAGTGTGGTATCCCTAGGTCACTTAGCAACCTGACATGAGTGCTGTGAGCATCCCTTCTTCAAGGTTGACAGTAGACCACCAAAAGCACCAACTGCGGATAGAATCCAAGTGAGATACCATGATCACTTGACTAAAGCCAAGTATTTGGTTTGTTTTTTCAGACAAACTATTTCCATCCATTTTTAAAGTCATTTGACTTCGGAGAAAAATCTAGTTCAAAGAATGCTTACCAGAAAATTTCATGACATTCCCATGAAAAAAATACATGGTTATAGAGACATTAAAAACTTAAGCTTTTTAAAAGACTTTATTCTTATTACTTTTCCCTTATGTGGGTGGGCATTTTGTCTGCTTGTGTGTAAGTACACCATGTACCTGCAGTGTCCTCAGAGGCCAGAAGAGGGCGGTCGATCCCCTAGACCTGGAGAAAGATATTTGTAATGTCCCCTGAGTCTATGTGTCAGGTGTTTTGTAGATGAAGTCATTGAGCCTGAGCTCCACAACTCTGAATTTTGCTTAGTTGTGGTTTTCTGGAATGGGCTCCATGTGTTTCAAAGAGAAGTTTCCTTGATGAGGGTTGAGGACCAAATGTGTCTGTGGGTTTAAGGACACATGAGCTAAGAGGATAGCACCAATTGTTACGCTTAAGTGGACATGGAAAAGCCCATGAGGCAATACACAAAAAATTATAGTCAACTGAGGGATGTTGGGAATGGGAGAAATAGTCATCCCCAGGGAAGGGCACACCTATTGGTTGTCTAGTATCAAATAGTCTGGAAAACATACATACAAGTACCATTATATAGGCTGAGCAGGTTATATTTAGGAATATATATATATGATACATACATATATATTCATGTTAGAATAATTAATGAATAAAGAAGTTGTGAATTTGAAAGAGCAAAGAGGTATATGGGAAGGTTTGGGTAGAGACAAGGGAAGGGAGAAATGATGTAATTATATTATAATCTTTGAAAGAAAAGGAAAACATGAAGAGAGAAGATTGTTGTGAGCCTCCAGGTGGATCCTTTCGCAAGAGCATTAAGCGCTCTTAACTGCTGGTCCATCTCTACAGCCCCAAACATCACACTTGTAAAATTTAATGTATCAAGTGAATAAATTAAGTAATGAGCTAAAAATATCTTCTAGAGTTAGCTTAGTGTCTCCGGTCCTAAATGTTGTTTGAGACTCATTATTGTCTATAAAAGAGTTACTGTGTCTAAGATAATCACACAGTCTCTCGTGGCTTCAATATCTGTGGTAACTTCATTACATATCTCCTTTGTTAGTGATTGGATTGGAAGTCACACTTAGAGTGAACCTCTCTGTAACTGCAGGCTTTATCTGGGGAGAGATTAAGCAGATGTGGGACGGCGGACTTCAGGATTACATCCACGACTGGTGGAATCTAATGGACTTCGTGATGAACTCCTTGTATCTGGCCACAATCTCCCTGAAGATCGTTGCATTTGTCAAGGTAATTGCTCCTTTACATTGTTCACAATGCACTCATCTAATTCTTAAAGATGCATCTTTGGTTGTATTAATTTTATTAAGAGACCTTTGTGTGGTATTTATTAGCCTGCTATCATTTATAACACTGAAGTACAGGAACAATGCTTGCCCTTTCGTTGCTATTGTAAGCATGGCAGAGCTGCTACGGTAGCACCTTTCTGCCAACTAAGATGGCGGCCTCAAATGAAATAGCCTTCTAACTCTAGTTCTTTCTAATCCCATTGAACTTCTACTTCCAACACCGCTTAAATTTTGTCAGCCCAAATCTATTTTTGCGAGATATAACGAATAGATAAATTTTTATTGGCAAATCAAAAGATTGTTCTTCGAAAGCCTCGATGTGGTTGTTTATACTTGAAGTAACAGTTCGACGTGATTGGAACAAATTAGAACGTCTTTGTCCCTGTCCTGTTCATCATGACACTGACTGTCTGAACTCACCTGCTGGGTTTGTGCACCGGCCCCAACTACAGTCACCTAGTTCACACGGAGCATTTAGCTCTGCGGTGACAACTGCCGTTACTTTCGTACTCAGAGGGACTTGTTTCAGGCTCAAGGTTGAATTTCCCCTTTTACTGCTTTCATTTTGTCTCCTCCTCTTTGCCTCCTTTAAAATATAATTATTACAAAATGATTAGTGAATTGGTGATTTGGGGAAGAGAGATTCTGATTGGTGCCACATGAATAATGCATGCAATTTATGATTCCAACTGAAAAATGCACACACTAAGGTCCTTACTCACTCAGTGAAGCTCTAAACAATGTTCTAATTTTTCTGTGAATACTCCTATATCATAAGAGCAAAATGGCCCCAATTGAGAATGTTATGATTTTGTTATGGTTTCTAGCTCATGTGTGTGTGTGTGTGTGTGTGTGTTTGTCATTATAAGCTACAATCACACTCACATGATCTAATATATGACAATTTGAAATATATATATATATACATATATATATATAACCATATATAACTAAAAATAAAAATATCTCATATCTTGGTTTTGGTATTACAGTGGTTCTAAGAGTTAACCCTTCAATAAAGGATCAGAAAAGAAGCACATACATTTACCATTATTAATCTCCCCCACCTCTTCTTCTATCTTTTCTTAATTTTAAATCTAAGATTTTTGAGCATCGCATACATGCCTACTATATCTGAATCATGTCTATCCCGCTTCTCCCCTTTCCACCTCCTCCTGTGCCCCCCACTTCCTTGAAAATTCGTGACCTCTTCTTTAATTACTGCTCTTACAATCTCCATTGCCCTCTGCTGGCTTCTAGCCTCCTCTGATGACCTCTGGTCCCCGGTGTTCATCTCTCAGACTGGTGTTTAACCCCGTGCATAAGCGAGAACAGGGCCCTGCTGACCTCCCTGTGCCTGGCTCATTGCCCTCCGCAGAAATCCACGATTCCATCGTGTTTCTGTAAATGAGATGACTCCATTTCACAGCTGACTAAAATTCTGTTCTATGTGTGTTGCCTTTTATTTATCTCTCCATTCTCTAATAAATCAGTCAATCGGTTGACTCTGGCATTGCCTATTGTAAATAATAGTGCCATGAGTACAGGGACCACCCTGATATTATTTCTCATTTTTACGAATTTGTTGAGAATTTTATATTTTGAGCCTATTCATTCCCTCCTCAGTGCCTTCCCGGATTCCTCCCCACCCTGCACTTCCTTACCAGCCCAACTTTGTGCTCTTTCTTCTTCCTAATATATGCTTGCCTATTGCTCTTAGGTTATGGTCTTCTACTGTAATGTAACTGGTTAATCAGGATCCACAGCCTTAAAGGCAACTGGCCATCCGTTTTCTAGCAGCTCTAGGTTGCCAATAGCTCCTCAGCTAGGGGTAGGACTTCCTGTTCATCAAAGTCTGACCTCCCCTCTCCATGGAGGGATTTGTCTGACTTGAACTGGGGCAGGTCTTGTGGATGCCGTCACAAGCACTGTGAGCTCGTATGTACGAGTGACCTGCCATGCCTGGAAAATACTATTCCATTATTGTCTCCTACCACTTCTTGTTTTCAATCTTCCTGTGCGTCTTCCACAACATCTCCTGCACCTTGGGGAGGAAGCGTATAATATAGAGATTCCATTTAGGGCAGAGAATTCCAGTCACTATCTATGCCTTGTGTCTCTGCAAAAAGGAACTTCTTTGATGAGGACTGAGATGTGCATTTGTCTAAGGGTGTAACCATACATTATTAGGAGTCAGTTTAACAAACACACCACTTTGATGTTTTGACACCATTTCCTGCTCTGAAGCTGACTGACCCGAATCTTTACAGTATTCTGTTTTTAGTTTAGTGAGGTTCCTTAGATATTTTGCTACCTAATGCATGCATTTGTTTATACTCCCACCAGCAGTTTTGAGTTTCTTTTCATCTGTGTATTTACCACACACGGTTATCTTTTGACCTATTTACTAATAACACTCTGGCTTGGAGAAATGGAATCTTCTTTTGATTTTGACTTACATTTTAGTGATGATTTGTGACACTGGACTTTACTTCATGCGCTCGCTGGCTATTTGTGTTTTCGTTTTCTGAGAAATGTCCAGGCAGATCATTGACCCACTTCTGAAACAGAGCTACTTGGGTTTTGTTGCTGAGGGGTTTTTTTGTGTGTGTGATTGAGGGAAGACATTTTGAAGATTAAATCAACCAAGAGCTCTTTAAATACAATTACCTTCAAAAACACTTCAAGCAAGATAAATAATTTCCACTCACATTATTGCGACATTACTTTTGATGCAGGTCGTTTTTCATATGTAAGAATTCAAGTGTTATTTTATATTTAATAGATGAGTTGAGCCTTTATATGGGGGAGGGCATGGTAAGAATTGGGGGGAGACAGACAGACAGACAGACAGGGAGAGCTAATTCCCATTTAGGATGTGTTCCCAGTATACACCCTTGCAAAACCATCTCCCACAGACTCTGTGATCCCCCAACGTTACCACAAGTTGTCGGTCCTTTGTTCCTTTGTGGGTCCATGGCAGATCCCAATGACGGCCTTTGAAGCCAAGGCTGCATATGATGTGACTGCAGCTTACCCACCTTGTACTGCTTAAAGCAAGCTACTCAATATCTCAAACACCTTTTCTGGAAAGCAGCAAAAATCATCAGACTCAATGCAAGGAGCTCATATAAAAATTAAATATTTACTCTGACTCTGTAGAGTGCCCTGGTTTGGTCTCTGTTGCTGTGATAATCACCAAGACCAAAAGCAACTTGAGGGGAAGAAAAGGTTTACTTCCTCTTGGGGCTTACAGGGCATCTGGAAAGGAAGTCCAGGCAGGAATCTGGAGGCACGAACTGAAGCAGAGATCGTGAAGGACTGCTTCTTACCTGCTTTCTTTCCAAAACTTGTTCAGGTTGTTTTCTTACACGACCCTGGACCACCAGCACAGAGGTGGCACTGCCCGCAGTGGATGGCACCACCCTTTGCCAGTCATTAATCAAGAATATGCCCCAAAGACTGACTACAGGCCATTCTGATGAAGGAAATTCTTCAGCTAACACCTCTTTTTGCCTGTTTGTAGATGCCTGCCACTTGTGTCCAGTTGACATAAACTAACCAGCATGTACATATAAAGTAACGGTATTACAACGTCCATAAACTGGGCATACAGACACAGAGGACTTGACTTTTCTCTGATTATGAGCTTTGGTTGTTCTTGCTTGCTTGCTTTTTGTTCTTATGGGATGGTTGTTTTTAAATTTTTCTTTTAACGTACAGTCACTTGTTGATCTCCATAACACCATTTTAAATCTTATTTTGTCTTCATTGATTCTGGTTCAGAACTACTTTTTACCCGGCCCATTTCCACAGGCAAAGCTTGTCTTGCAAGTTTATCTTCAGTCATTTGACAGGTATGAGTAAATCTCTATACCTCTTGATTGCGTAACATGTAATTTCAACAATCAAAATTATTATGAATAATTTAATACAAGCAATTGATTTCACACCCATGGTAGAGTTTTTACATCATTTTAATAAACAGTTTTGATTGGATGACTTCACTGAATCTCCCTCTTACCAGTTAACAGAATTACAAGGACTGTTGCTTCTGTCTATGAGTGATCTCATTCCAGAGTCAGCTCCTCCGATACAGTGTTTTCTGTGAGGTTCTTCAGTTTTGCAACAAGGAGCTATTATAGACAATTGAATCCTGCTTGTTTGTTCTAGAATTATCTGCTAGGGAAGAAATTCTTAGGCTTTTCTCTTTTCTTTTTCTACTTTATTAGCACATAGAGAAACATTTTCATCTTGTAACATAGTCATTAAAATCAATATACTTTTTTCTGTAACCTTGTGTGATGAATGTGCATACCATATTTCAGCACTAAATCAAATACCTGAGACCATCAACCTATAAAGAGAAAAGGTCTTCTTTGGTTCACAGACTGAAGGTGGTGGTTCATGGTCACTTGGCCCTTCTGTGCTATGTTAGAAAATGCATGGCAGAGCAAACTAGCCACCTATAAGTGGGACAAAAGGAATGAAGAAGGAAGGAGGGTCCCCCAGTCCCCTCCTTGGGCATTTCCCTAAGTGGCACAGCCTCTGAAAGGGTTTACCATCTCCCATTAGCACAGAACTGAAGGTCATGCCTTTAGCAAATCAGCCTTAGGAAGACATTCTAGATCCAACTATGGCAATAGCCATTTTCATAATATAGTCACCTAAAAGTTTAACTCATTTTGATTGACAGTTTGGCTTTTATGAATATTCACCAGCTTATAAAAGGCATGAAGACGAAGTTGCATATTTTCCTATAATCTAGGGACATATGATCCAATGTTATGATTCACTCCATCATCAGCTCATAACACTCCTGACAAGGTCTTCATGACTTGGATTCAACCTACTCCTCTCACTGTTCCTAACCCCCAGCTTTCTCTAGAAGCCCACATTCCTACCAATGATTCACCTTCCAGGTCTTCCTTGTCCTTCAGCATGTCCGATTCTTCTCTTGTGATTTTAGAACTTCTAAAGGAAAGAACTTCAGGATACAGTTCTCCATTCCGGAGACACTAGGACCCCACAACACATGACTGGTTATGTCTACAACAAAGAGGGGTTCTCTCAGAAAGGTTAATCTCAGCAGAAAGGGAGGCTTTAGACAAAATTGTGGCACAGTAGGAGTCCCGTAAAAAACAATGGTGGAGTGGCCAGTGTACATGATGACCTCAGAAAGGGAGGAAGTGTGTAGAACACCTACTGCTCTGTCCTGTAACATGAAGGGTCCTGTTTGTTGGGGTTTCTGTCCCGCCCAGTACCCCACAGTCGACAAACCCCAAAGAAAATCACACACAGGACTCCATAAGATTATAAACTGATTGGCCCATTAGCTCAGGCTTCTTGTTAACTCTTATAGCTTATATTAACCCTTTATTCTCATCTATGTTAGCCATATGGCTTGGTACCTTTTTCAGCTGTCAGCTCACATGTTGCTTCTTCGGTGGTCTGGGCAGGAATGGTGGAGGGAGCTTCCTGCTTCCCAGAATTTTCCTGTTCTCATTTCATCACCTCTACTTCCTGTCTGATTTTCCCGCCTATACCTCCTGCCTGGCCAATCAGCATTTATTTAAAATATGATTGACAGATTACAGACAATTCTCCCATACCACTCTCCCTCACAGATTACCCTACAAAACTGGGCTACCATCTTGGGCCTTTGGAATCCTAATGTCCACGTATCTCCTTCCGAGGTAACATGCTCATAATTGCTATTTTGAAGTCCTTGTCTTACGATTTTCTAAACTGATTTTCTTGGGGAATGGTACTGTAGGCATGCTGGCTTCTGGTGGAAGCATACTGACTTGGCTGTTGGTGCTTGTAGTTTTGTGCTGGGAACTAGACCTCTGGAGTTATGGTGTTTGTAGTGTTTCTTGGTGTAGCTTTCTGGGCGTGTGCTGAGTTCTTTGGTTGCTGTTACCACACTCTGACAGGTCACAGACCAGAAGAATGATGCTTGTTTTTCAGGAGTGGGGCCGTTCTGTGTCTTAGGGTTCCAAGATTTGAAGTTCTGGCTAGAACTCTGGTTTCAGCCTCCAGGCAGTACTGATGGGCGCAATGATGATGCAGTAAATGGAGTGGGTGGCATGCTAGAGGTGGGGGAGGGGACTGACTCTGACTCAGTCCTTTGTGACTTGGGTTCTGTCTTAATCAATGTTCTGGTGCTGCGAAGAGACAGCATGATCACAGCAACTTGTAAAAGAATGCATTAAACTGGGGGCTTGTTTACAATTTTAGTCCTTTATCATCATGGAAGAAAGAATGGTGGCACAGAGGCAGAAATGGTGCTGGAGAAGAAGCTGAGAGCCACGTCCTGGTCAGTTGGCTGATTGAGAGAGAGAGAGAGAGAGAGAGAGAGAGAGAGGGGGGGGAGAGAGAGAGAGAGAGAGAGAGAGAGAGAGAGAGAGAAACTCTGGGCCTGGCGTGGGCTTTTAAAACCTCAAAGCCCACCCCCAGTGACACACTTTCTCCAAGAAGGCTTTATCTCCTAATCTTTTCAAATAGTGTCACTCCCTGGTGACCAAGAATTCAAATTTACGAGTCTATGAGAGCCATCCTCATCCAAACTGCCACAGGTCCACCTCCACTAAGGGAGGTGGAGGCAGAGCTAGAGGTAGTCTAGAGCTGCCAGGAATGGCAGCATAGCTGAAGGGTTGGAGGTGATTGTGAGGAGGCTGGAGGATGGATTCCCTAGAAAGAACAGATGAGAGAAAGGAGGGGTGGCCTCCCTGAGCTCCAGCCACATGTGGTGGCTGTGAGGTCCCTCCAGGTAGTTGGGGAGTGGCAAAAAGATTGTGGGGGGGTTGGAGGAGTGGCTGAATTGGTCAGCAAAAAAGAACTGGGGAACTCTGGATCCACAGTACCAGGAAACCGAGACCCAAGGGGATGGAGGTAGGCTAGGAGAAGGAGCTGGGATCAAAATCAAATTTCCAAATTAACATGTTAATACCCAACAATAGGTTTAGAAAATATACCCAGTGGGCAAATCCTTTATTCTTTATAGATTTAAAGAACATTGTGGTTTGCAAAGCTTTTTAATTGCTTCTTAAAGCAATGGCTTATTCACTTACTTTATCTCAATGTGCAGTCCAGGCTGACTTTGAACTCATCATATAGCATATGCTACCGTCCAAGTGACAATCCTCTCTTGAGTCTCGGGTGCTGGGATTACAGGTGTGCACTGCTCTGCCTGACTCAGTGAGCTCTATAGAGGCTTAAAAAACACGCATGCGTGTGGCAGGACTAAAACAGTGGAAATGAGTGAGCCGTGGCACCTCTTACTGCTCTTGTCCCTGTTCTCTGACAAGAACCAAGGTGTCTGCATCAGGAAACAGACGAAGTACTGATTTACACTATGATCTGAACATCAGTCCCCATGTTCCAATTCCCCAATGCGGATGTGTGTGCTGAGAGCCAGATGTGCCCTGTGCACAAGGGATTTATACACCAGGAAAGGAAGTCGGAAATTATGAATCTCAGAATTTACGGGATACAGTTGAGCTAGCTGCTCATCTGTCCCCTGGGGACAGAAAGATCTGAACTTTCTTAAGTAAATAAGTGTTCTCTTGAGAAAAGGTCCCTGGGTTTATTATCCAGAGAATGGAAGCCTGTGGCTCTAGGGAAGATATCTGTGAGTCCCTCAGGAGACTTTGTAACTTTGAATGGGGGTTCGCCATTACAACACGATTAAACCCAAATAGCAGCCATGTTTGCTCAAGAAGACGATGTGTGACGTGATATTGTCGGTAAAGCATCACTTCCTAGCAGCTGCCCACCTGACTAGACTCTGAATCCAGTATGGATGCTGATATTAGGGTCAAGTGAGAATCTCATGCTTTAGGAGATTTCCCCTTAGGAGTCTTTCAGTTACAGCCAAGATCACCCACTAAGAAGGCTCTGTGTCCATCACTGTGTTAGAATATCGTGATGGCTTCTACAGCAGGTTGTCTCCAACTGCTGCAGCACTGCTATTAAGGCAAAGCCTCACCTCTATTGGAACTCTAAGAGCCTTGACAACATATAGACCCTATACATCTCTAACCTCTTCTTCCCTACTCCCACAATGCCTTGCGCTAATGTCTTGAAGTGTTTCTGTTATAATTAGTCATATCTGTCTGTGTCCTAGTCTATGATGATGTTATGAGCAAAAAGTCTCTCCTAAGCACTCGTGCTGTGGTATACAGTATGGAGTATTGATCATTTCAAGACGTTTTAAAAAGTGCTTACATCATTATCAATATACTTCTTCTGTCAGACTGTATATTGCTTGTGACTCAAGAACACTGACTAGGATTTTAAAAAATAATCTTGTTCAGACTTGATTATTTTATAATGTCCCTCAAGCAAGAGTCTACAGGTTGAATCTGGTCAGTTGAATAAGCTGAGGAGTTGTGGTCTTTGCAAGATTTTAAAATACAACGTAACAATCAAGAGCGACTTGATTAGCATATGAAGATTTTAGCACATGGACATCAATTAGAAATAAGGACAGACCTGTCCAACCATGTGAATTAAAGCTCATGAGATATAAGTCAATGAATTTCTGTCTTTGTATAGCTTACCCTAGCTCAGTGGTTCTCAACCTTCCTAAAGCTACTACCCTTTAATACAGTTCCTCAGTTGTGGAGACCCCAACCATAAATTTATTTTCACTGTTACTGTTATGAATCATAATGCAAATATCCTTGTTTTTTGATGATATTTTTTTTGATGATGTTTTCTGACCCCTGTGAAAAGGCCATTCAACCTCCAAAAGGGGTCATGGCCCATAGGTTGAGAATAACTGCTTCTGCCAGCTACTGCCTTCATAAAGGATATACCTTCCAAACAGTGCCAGTGATGAGCCCAGGCAAACACCACAGACCTGAACTTGACTCTGTTGGCGTGTGTGTTTACTTCCCCTTCCTTTCTCTTTCCCCAGTACAGTGCTCTGAACCCACGGGACTCATGGGACATGTGGCACCCCACCCTGGTGGCAGAGGCTCTATTTGCTATTGCAAACATCTTCAGTTCCCTGCGGCTGATCTCACTGTTCACCGCGAATTCGCACCTGGGACCGCTGCAGATATCGCTGGGACGGATGCTTCTGGACATCCTAAAATTCCTGTTCATATACTGCCTCGTGCTGCTCGCCTTTGCGAATGGCCTAAATCAGCTGTACTTCTACTATGAAGAAACAAAGGGGTTAAACTGCAAAGGCATCCGGTGCGAGAAGCAGAACAATGCCTTTTCCACGTAAGTCCGAGAGGCGTTCCTCTTGGTAAACGGTGGGTGGAGTGAAGAGTATATGCCGTCACAGATTTGAAAAATTCACCCCATGGTTACAAAGGAAATGGAGAATTAAAGCTATGAATAATGCAGGAAATGGAATTAGCATGGCTTTGAATAGAAATGTAAACTTCTGGCATTCAGAAAAAAAAATACCGGGTACATTTATTTTAAGTTTTAGTAAATGGTCTTTTCTTTTAAATGACCTCGGGAAAAGGAAAGGCTATCTATCCTGTTTGAAAATGTAGAATTCAAAAGGGAAACCTATGTATTATTGACGTCTTATACGTATGCACGTGCAATCAATCTTGCTGGAAAATCCAAATGCTTTTCCACATTTCCACATGGCCCTTCACGTGTTTCTTTTGACTCTTAGTGTGGTATGCAAAAGCATAAACATGCAAATATTATCCAAAACGGATACTCAAGTCTGCCCATTCTAATTACCTAGGAAACACTTCCTGTATGCTTACACAAGGATGAGCAGTGTACACAGCCACTGTCAGATTCTGGTGACTCTCATAAGCAGAATTGATGGCAGCCCACGCTCAGGAGAGACTCGTGTGCCCTGCCACCATCTCACAGACTTTTCTGCCTGTGTCCATTTCCTTCCCACTGTGAGAAACAAAAGGTTAGCAGGTTAAGACCCTGGGTGACTTCTCTGCTCACAGCCGCACCAGTTTGGACACATGCTTGTTTTGTAACTTTAATAAGCCGCCTCTTTCATGGGCCCTCATAGAACTATACACACTGCAAAAGAGACAGCAAGGTTCCAACTAGAAGGCATTTCACATAACCTAAATCACTCGGAGCTAGAATGCTCTAGTTGCTTTAATCCTGCATCTGTTTGTTTTTATCCTGATATTTAAAACTCAATTTTAATTAACCAACATCTGCTTGTGTGCACAGAGGATTTCCATCTCACCCTTTTAGATTTGATACAAACTTCCAGTCGTAAGAAATCATGTGATCCTGATTCCCCGTGTCTCACCTTATTCATCCTTGGGCCCAGACAGTTAACTTGCCCTCCTCCTCGGTTGTCTTTTCATCTTGGTTTGAAGGGAGGTGGTGAAATCTCCTTCATCCTTCTTTGCTAGAACCTTAGATGGCTGGCCATTTCCTGACCCTATGTAGTTTTTTCCTTGTGACTTGGCCGAAGGCAATGAGGACAAGAGAATCACGAGAACCCAGATCCCACCACCCTCCCCCTGTACCTGTCAGAATCTTTCTGGACTTTGTCTGGTGACAGATTGTCTCTGTGGCTTTATGACAGAGTGCACCGTCCCAGGCTCCACCTCTCCTAAAACCTTTGCTGCTTCCTTCGTGATATCTCATTATAAGCTCTTTGCCGAGTCCTCCTCCTGTGTGTGTTGCTAAGTCCTTCCTATGTGCTGCATCCCTGAAGAAGCTTCTACACAGCACCTACGGCGGAGTCACCTCCCTCCCTCATCATTCTTAGTTTAATGGAAAAGATCTCACTCGCAACCGAACCCTTTGTGCCTGCCTGACTCCCCGGCCAGTAGCAAGGATACTGTCACACTGTCTTTGTGATATCCCCAAATTCCCAGTCATCCCCTTGTTCCTAATGCTGGTTTATTAATACATGATTAATTATAACATCAGACCAAAAGCATTATAGTTAGGTGTCCAGTGTAAAATTCTGACATACATTTATTCCAAAAAAATAAACGTTAGATTCTTTCAACCTCAGTATGGTTTTAATTGATTTGCACCCATGATTTCTTCCATGACTTGAGAGGCAATGGACAATTGCATATCCCAGATATTGTGGGACTAAATCTTTTGACACCCTCCCCCAAAGATCAGATGTTTCATCTAAATTGCTTTTTCCTGCAAATGATGATTATGTATTTCTCAGTGACATTAAAAGCTAAATGATACAACTAACCCTGAATATTATTAAGTAGGGTGTGTTAGCCTTAAGCTTATCCCTAGCTGACTCTGCCGTGATGTAACAGATGTCTCTCGTCCTAAACGGGACATATGGCGACACTTGGCGTCTCTCGTTATCTACCCTTCATAGCTGCATTCTTTCACATTCGGTTTTCCTTCCACACATTTTTTTCACCCTTTTGCTACCCATTATTGCAGAGATTATAGTCCTATATATTATAGGCATCGGTTCATGCCTCACACAGGGCCTGTGCTAGCGCCGTGGGTCCTCAAAGACAGTAGCGCGTCCTGAGCAGCATTATGTTTGGCACAGTGCTGTTTCTTGTTCATTTCATTAACCCCTCCGCCCTCCCTCCTGGACGGCAGCTGTCGGTCTGATAGCAGCACGCGCTCGTGTCCCTTGCTCTCCTCAGTGCCACCCTGTATCAACATCTCTCTGCACCTCTCAGTCGTTCTTCATTTAGCTCCTGCGGGCGATGTAGGGCACCATAATCACTGGCTCTAGAGAATATTTCTCCTCTTAGAGCGTATTCAGTGGGAGTCCCAAAGAAAAGCTTCGGTTACGGACCACTCCCTCGTCTCTTTCCAAACCTCTCCTCGTTCCCAGATCTCTTAGCCACAGATCTCTTTTACTTACTTTTAGGGAAGTAAAACCTTGGCTTTGTCACTGTGCTTCCCTCCCCCTCCACCCTGTATGTCCTCACCCCCAGCAGCAGCATTTTGTCAATATCTTTCCTTGTTCGCTGCCCTGACTCACGTCTACTTCCTCTGGTCTCTGAGTTTGTTCTGTCTGTCTGTCTGTCTTCTGGCCGTAAGATCTTTGTAGACCAAGATTAAAGGCTCCACCATCTAAGTTCGTAATGAATACCTGCCTCTTACCAGCTTCACCCTTAACCTTGCTGGGCCTCTCCATTCCTTCAGTGATCTGACCTTAGCTTCTATTTCTAATTTTTGTCAAGTTTTTAACATTATTTTACTCTTCCCTAACAAACTAATTATGAATTCCCAGTATCTAATTTTCTTTTTCCTTATTTTGCCTTTGCACTTCTCAATCTTTTAATCTTTTCAGAGATACTTTTTTGCCAGGACTCCTTCCTTGATGCCTACCTACTGTGGGCTCTCAGTGAGCACAGACCATGGCCCAGGTCTGTAGCAGGCTTTTTCTTTCGGGCCACCAACCCACTCCCAAATCGGGACATGGAGACTTATTATTAGTTATGAACGTTTGGTCTTCGCTTCTGCTCATTTCTGGCTAGCCCTTGTAATTTAAGATGTTTCTCTTCATCTGTTTTGTCTCAGGGCTCTTTACCTTTCTTTCTGTGTCTGCTGGCTGGTGACTGGCTGGTCCTGGGCTCTTCTTCCCCTTATTCTTCTCCAGGCTACTAGATTTCTCCTCCTATTTATTCTCCCTGCCTGCTGTCAGCCCCCCCTTCTCTTCTCTCTCTCTGTCTCTTTCTCTCTCTGTCTGCCTGTTTCTCTCTCTCTCTCTCTCTCTCTCTCTCTCTCTCTCTCTCTCTCTCTCTCTGTTGACCACTCAGCTCTTTATTAGACCAATCAGGTGCTTTATAGACAGGCAAGGTGAAAAAAAAACAATGCAACACATCTTTACATAGTTAAACAAATGCAGCATTAACAAATGTAGCACACCCTGACACAGTTAAAGTAATATCCCACAGCATAAATAATGTAACACATCTTTACCTAGTTAAAGTACTATGCCACACCATTGGTCTGCTAAGGCTGCATTTTCCACAAGCAAATGGATATATCTCCCACCCCTTTGTGTTCTGTAGTTTCCTCATTGACATGTGAAAAACTACTCCATCCTTAAGACTCTCAACTATTTGGGCGGTGGTGGTGCATGCCCTGAATCCCAGCCCTCGGGAGGCAGAGACTGTGGACCTCTGTGAGTTTTGGGCCAGCCTGGTCTATAAGAGCTAGTTCCAGGAAAGACTCCAAAGCTACAGAGAAACCTGGTCTCGAAAAAAAAAATCAACTATTTGGTGACTGAAATAAATCTATTCAGAAGTTTTAGCTAACTGCCCCGGCAAGGGGTTTGCCCAGGAAGTGGGGGTCATGAGCCTTATGACACTGTCTGATTAAGCAAAGCTCATTAGAGTGTACTGGAGCTCAATTCATAATGTCTTGTACTGGCCAATTAAGGTCATATTTTACATATTTTAATATGACATTTTTGGGTAGAAAACAAACAAATGTTGAGTTGTGTCTTGTCATGAATTTGTTCAATCATCATTTTAATCTCATAGGACAAGAGGAAATCTCAGCCTCAGAACACATTTTTTTCCTTGCTTATTCCATGTCTCTAGCTGTAAATATTTAGCCAAAAGGGAATAGGATCATTCAAAAAGTAACAGCTGAAAAATACCTTCACGGGCAATAAATAAAATGTTATTTTCAGAAAAGCAAAACTCTTATCCATATAAAGTGGGTCTTCAGTTTAGACATCAACACAGATATCATGTCATGTGAGTTAATTAGGTTGTGGTATTACCTTGGGAAATTAATAAGCATTTCCTAAAAAAAAATAACTTCTTTTCACTCACACAATGTGGAAAATATTAGCCACATAAAGGTCTTCTGAGATGTGATCCAGCTAATGAATCTGAAATTTATGGACATCATGGGTCCCAGTGGATTTGAGAAGCAGTAATAGTCCTTCCTGGAAGCATTGGCTTTGAAATATTAACCTACATCACACGTTGGGCCAACGTGACCAGCAGAAAAACAAACCATAGACAATGCAAAAATAAACAAGGGTGACTATGTCTCATAAAGTCTGATTTACAGATATTAAGATATAAATTTTACATGATTGACATGTATCACAAATATATATCGTGATCCTTTTATTTTCCCTCAACCATTTGAGAAATTACAAAACTCTTTTTAACCCTGCAATCATGTTTTTCCAGGGTCTGAATTCTCCTTTACCCACATTGCTCCAACAAAGTGTAGCTTTCAATGCTCATTGAATAAATAATAAAATACATAGGAAAAATAAGTATAATTTTTATATTCGTTTTATAAAAATATTTTAAATTACTTTATTAAGTTTAATTATATAATTTTTGATTGAAATTAATAGCACATATATGTACATATATAAAATAAGATAACCTTACTACTTTCATGTTTTATTCCAGGTTATTTGAAACTCTACAGTCTCTGTTTTGGTCAATATTTGGACTCATCAATTTGTATGTTACTAATGTCAATGCCCAGCATGAGTTCACCGAGTTTGTTGGGGCCACCATGTTTGGGACATACAATGTCATCTCTCTGGTTGTCCTATTGAACATGTTAATTGCCATGATGAATAATTCTTACCAACTAATTGCCGTAAGTTGACAACATTGCTTTTAATTCCACATCCTTTCTTCAGAGTGTTGTTCTCAGCTATATTCTATCTTATCACCATAGTAAATAAAGTCTATAATTTGATATTGATGAGAGAGATCAGAATAGTTAATGATAAATTGTAATGTATATAAACAACAGTGTAGCATAAATGACTGTATATTATTCTATTTTCTAGGCAGAGTAACATGGACAATTAAGTCAGCCCACATTGCCAGGGAGCCATTGCCATGAAACAATCTAGAAAGAGGTCTCTCATCTCTAAGCAGCCCATCAGTTAATTCAACATAAACAAAACTCATGCCAGGCTATGAAGTTGAAAACAAATCCCAGAGATAAATCTGGTAAAGGAAAAGCCATAGATAATCAGTTTCTTTGAGGTTTTTGTTTTGTTTTGTTCTGTTTGTTTGATTTTTGAAACAGGGTTTCTCTGAAGCTTTAGAGTCTGTCCTGGAACTAACTCTTGTAAGCTCAGGAAAAACAGGGGCTGGAGAGATGGCTCAGCAGTTAAGAACACTTGCTGTTCGTCTGCAGGTTCCAGGTTCAATTCCCAGCACCCACATGGAGCTATCAGCAGTCTGTACTACAGTCTCAGGGGATTCAGTGGCCTCTTCTGGCCTCATTTGGTACCAGGCACACATAACACACACACACACACACACACACACACACACACACAGAAAGAGAGAGAGAGAGAGAGAGAGAGAGAGAGAGAGAGAGAGAGAGATAGGCAAAATATCCATGCACATGAAATAAAAATTTTGAAAGCTTAGTAAAAGCAACAAATATAGAAATGATCTTGAATTCTCCAGACAAGTTTGTGGTACAATATATATTATTTAAAATTCTGGCTTTCAAACAAATTAGCATCATCTATTTACTCAAAATTTCAAAACCTCTGCCTAGACATGGTTGCTCACATCTGTAACCCCAGCATTTGGAAAGCTGAGGTGGGTAGACCATTTTGAATTCAACGCTAGCCTGAGCTACAGTGTAACTTCCAGGCCACCCTGGGCTAAAACCTGAGACCCTGTGTCGAAAAGCCCAAAATCAGCAACCAAAATGTCTTACCAACTGATTGATTACGGTTGAATACATAAGTGCTTGGTTACCAAGGACTGTTACGAAAACACGCCAGCTACTGAGATGGAATGCTTTAGCCACGCGAATTTACAGATTAGTGGGCTAAGTCCACTGAGAACAGCTAGAGAAACAAACTAAAACCAGGGCACAACGCATGCATGTGGGGCCCTTCCCAGTCAGACCTTAGTGTATGGCGCATGCTACAGGTTGTCCATTTTGTCACACATAGTAGCAATCATGTCGTGTCCTTGAATCTATAGCAGAACTTCTGAACCGTTACCATAACTTTTGTGAGGTAGCACTCTGCATTTTAGTTAAATTTTCGCTACAGAGGTAATTTTTTCTCATGCCCGTCAGTAAAAAAAAAAAAGTGCAATACATTAGAATACAGCGTCTGTGTTACTAGTCCAGAGACTATGTGTAAGAACTCCTCGGGCTCTACCGATCTGGGAGTGAACATCAGAATTTGTGGTTCTACAGAACTTCAGGTAACATCCTGGAGCCTGAAGTTTTATAGACTTCACATATATCCAGAGTAACAGAAATACACACACAAAACAGGCAAACAAACAAACCAAACAGACAAACAAACAAAACCCCAGAAAACCATAACCATCATGTTAAGGACAAAGACACTCCAACATTTTGGGTCCTGTGAGACACTAGATGCCCCAGCTTTGTCCGGAAGAGAACATTGCTCTGAAGTAGCATGATGTTGTCTCGTCACATGTGGATCTTGTTTTTCTAAGCAATGAACAGAAAGCATTTCTCAAATCTCCCTTTTTATTTAGCCCGTACGCTGAAGCTGTTGTAAGACAGGCAGACAGCAGGACAGAGGTAGTGACCTCTCCGTGTCCTGTGAGGGAAGCTCCTTGGGCTGTTCGCATGTCGAGCATCTAACTCTTGTGTCTCCCAAAATCTCTGAACAAACTCAGAGATCTCCTCTTGGTTCCTGCTACCCACAACTCAGAGCTGTTGGGCAAATCATAGATGTGTTGGGAAGTTAGCAGTTGTTGAGCTGAATCAATAGCACAAGCCATGACTAAAGCCTCCTTGTACTTTTCCATTGATCACAAATTTTCTTATGCATCTACTGTACATCAGTCACATACTTGATTTCTAAAAGTCCTTTGTCTCAAAACATATAATAGGGACAAAAGAAATTCACGAATAATTTCAGTATTAGGAAGAGAGAGGAGAGAACGCTGTGAATGCGTCTCCACTGCTCAAGGTTTCCTTGAGGTATGTAACTTCAACTGAGCCATGGTTTATGAGACATGTGGTCTCGGGATTGTGCTGGACTCGCAGATGATATTTAGCCATCATCCCTGATTAATAGCTCCTGTGCACATGCACCAAGGCTCAGGGCTGTGATGGAGGCGCTGTGCAACATTGTGGGTTGGTGGGATCTCTCTGCAAACGTGCATCTCTTGTATGAGGGTAGAGAGGATTATCCATGTGGAAACATTTCCACTCAGACATCCCCTGCAGCAGCAAAGCTCATCTGTGAGCGTTCATGCAGGTGGCATTTATCCGAGCAGTGTGCAGGGCCTGGGCTAGGATGTAAAGCCGCGCCTCTAGCTAGCACCTAATGAAACCAAGCCATACAGTCTTTAGGGATGGAGCTGCAGCATTGCTTCCCAGTCAGAACGAATCACCACAGCCTCTTTAACACACAATTGTGGATCTCTGGTTTTCTAAAGAAGGAGGGTTGAGCAAAGTGACAATGACGTGAGTCCGTACAGGGCAAGCCACCATCTCTGGGAGTTAGTGGCGCTTTTCCAAGCCATCTAATTAATGTTCCAACAATCCCTCTGTGTCAGGTTCGGGTTCCATCTGCGAGGCTGATCTTACATTGTTAATTAGCGAACCTGTCGGCACTTGTCATGTTCTCTTGCTCAGGACCATGCAGACATAGAATGGAAATTTGCTCGAACAAAGCTCTGGATGAGCTACTTTGAAGAAGGCGGCACCCTGCCTACGCCTTTCAATGTCATCCCAAGCCCCAAATCCCTGTGGTACCTGGTCAAGTGGATCTGGACGCACCTGTGTAAGAAGAAGATGAGAAGGAAGCCAGAAAGCTTCGGGACAATCGGGGTAAGCTCACGTCCTGTTAGTATGATATCACATTGTCAATCATGAGTTGTCTGACTAGAGTTGAATCGTTACCGAACATGGGCTGATCTTTTGACTTTCTGTTCTCGCTGATTGTACACGGTGAAGTCTCACTGAACGTCACTCAGGTTTAACACCCCATCAGGGTGGCTAGGACTCTTCACAAGCCCATTTCCTAAATGAAAGACATCACACCTGATGTAATGGGATCGGCTCTCTTCAAAGAGGCCTCCTCATTCCGTTAGCTTAGTCTTGGGGACACAGCCATCCCTTGTACCCTGATATCAAGCTCTTCTGCAATTACAGCGGCGACTTATCTGGCTTGCTCCCTCTGAACTCCTGAGTCCGTGAGAAATGATGCATGCTTTAGTATTCAAGTCCTGGTGTCCAGCATTGGATCCACCATTTAGGATGACAATGGCTATTGGTTTGTCAAGTATAGCCTTTATTATGCTAACATCTATTTCCTCTAGGCCTACTGTTCTAGGACTTTTATCAAAGGCCTTTTTTGCATCTATTGAGAAGATTATGTGAAAATTTTTTAGACATTTATTTTTATCTCTTACCTTTATTGATTTACATATGCTCAGCCTTCCCTATATAGTCAGGATCGCGAGAACGTGATCATGGTGGTTGATCTTGTTGATAAATGCCTAAATTTGGCATGAAAGCACTTTTTTTTGAGAATCTTTGCATCTGTGTTCATTGGGGATATTGGTGCCTGTAGTTTTCTTTCTTGTTGTGTCTTTCCATAGTTTTAAACTTAGAATAATACAGGGGTTTGGAAATATAGCTCCTAATTTTTGGATGATTTAAGAAGTATTTCTTGAAGACTTTCTTTGAGAGCTTGGTAGAATTCTGCTATAAATACAACTGGGCCTGGGCTTTTTTTTTTTAACCTGGAAGGCTTTTTATTATTGTTCTGATCTTTCTATTTGTTATGGCTCTATTTAAGTTGAAGATCTCCTCTTAGTTCAACGTTGGTGGTTTGAAGAACCTGGAAATCTATCATTTTATTTAGATTTTCTAACTATATTTAAAAAAAACCTTGTAGGTCTTTTAAAAGTGAAATATAATAAGATAATCTAGAGTTGAAATTACACAGAGTTGTGAGCCCCCTGCCTGACATGGGTGCTGGGAACCAAACCCTGGTCTTCTGAGAGAGCAGCAAGTGCTCTTAACTGCTTAATCATCTCTCCACTCCCAAATTTTTCCTTAATCCATTCAATTAGCCTGTGTCTTTTGATTAGGAAGTTGAGGTCATTATTATTTGAAGTTATTATTGGAAGGGGTGAATTGATGTCAGGCTGTCATTTTGAGGGTTTTTGCTGTTTGTGTTCTAAGTCCTAGTGTGTATTTCAGTAATTTGTTTTCTTTCTATGGTCTCCTGGCTAAGTTTATTCTTATCTTCAGTTCAGGTTTTCCCACCAGTGTTCTCTGTAGGACTGACTTTGTAGACATAGATTTTTTGTTTGTTATGCCCTGGGAAATTTATTTTTTTCTCTTTCAACTCTGGCAGGTAATTTTTCTGGGTGCAGTAGTCTGGGATGACATCTGTGGTTTTTTAGAACTTGATGTCCTTTGCTCCAGACTACTCTGGATTTTAAAGTTTCCATTGAGAAACCAGCTGTTATTCTGATGGGCTTTCCTCTACAGGAGTTATAATTTTTTCTCTTGAAGCTTTCAAACATTTCTCTTTATTATGTATATTTAATGTTTTAGCTATATGGCATGGGAGTTAGATTTTTTCTGGTCATTTCTATTTGGTGCTCTATGTGCTTTTTGTGTGTTCTTGCATGGATAAGCCTTCCCTTAATCTGTTCATGCTTTCTTCTTTGATATTGTTGAAGATCTAGCTTATGCCATTGATTCATGGTTCCTCTCTTTCATTTGTACCTATAATTAGAATATCTTGTCTCTCAAGGCATCTCAAATTTTATACATGTTTCTTTCATGTCCTTTTAAAACCTTTCATACTCTTGGCTTGAGTGGTCAAATTCTTCTACTTTTTCTTCTGGTCCTGTCTTAGTCAGTATTCCATTGCTGTGAGGAAAAAAACAAAACGAAACAAAACAAAAAACAAAACTCTATGACCACAGCAGCTCTTTTAAAGGAAAGTATTTAATTCAGAATTTTTTACAGTTTCAGGAGCTTGATCCATTGTCATCATGGCCGGAAGCTTGATGGCATGAAGGCAGATGTGGTGCTGGAGAGAGTTCAAAAGTTCTACATGTGGGTTTGCAGAGAGAGAGGGACTGGGCTGGGCTTGGACTAATGAAAACCCCAAAGCCCACTTCCTCTAAAGAAAACTGTTAGGTGTGTTTATCATGAGCTATTGCGAGCCATGACACAATTATAACTTATAGCCATTGATAATTCAGATGTCAACCCACTAGAGAAATTATTCTCAAATGGGGGAAACCTGCCCAGCAAAGCTTGCAGGACCATTGACTCCGAAAACTGTGGCTTTCATCCCTAATTTCACTTGTGCAATAGCAGCTATCATATCTCCTCATGACCGTGCATTTTTATGTAATGAGTATATGTAATCTCATGATTACATCTTAATCTTATGGGTGCATATATCTGTGGGTGGTCAGGAAGATGGCTTTTCATTTAGTGTGTAATTTTAATATATTAAATATATATTAGGACATGCTTCATAACTAGATCGTGTTGCAAGGGGAGGGTGGTCCTTTGTTTGCCCTGGCCACCCAGTTAGCTTACATCCAAAATAAACACACAGAAATTGTATTAATTAAATCACTGCTTGGCCCATTAGCTCTAGCCTCTTATTGGCTAACTCTCACATCTTGATTTAACCCATTTCTATTCATCTATATACAACCACGAGGTCGTGGCTTGCCAGGAAAGATTTAGCATGTCTGACCTGGCATCTCCCTGGTGGCTCTCTCTGACCCCGCTTTCTCCCTTCCAGAATTCAGTTCTGCCCTATCAGACCAAGCAGTTCCTTTATTGATTAACCAATGAAAGCAACACATAAACAGAAGAAACTCCTACACCAAGATCTATTTGTCCCATGAGGACCATAGACACTTAAAAGCCTGCTTTATTCATTTTACTTGGACTAATGTCAAAAAATAATAATTTTGGTCTAATACAAACTGCACCCAATTAGCTCACTTTTATAAGAGTAAGTTCAACCTAGACCAAAGTCTTTTGATAAATAGATCATAAGTTTAAAACTTTAAAGGTACGCATAAGATCAGAGTCACAGATGCCCAACCAAGGTTACTAAGCAAAGCATGACAATTCTTTGCTTGCCTGTCTGCTGACAGTAGACCTATGTCTCAAAGTTTGTCACTGGACAGTGTACCACACACACACACACACCCCTCATTCTGGTCACGGTCTGACTGCTGGAACCTTGGAACCTTGTGTTGCCATGACAATGACTCAGCTCCCTATCACTTATCCTAGGTATGTGCTTTTGACCAATGAGAGACTACTCTTGTAATTTTTATTGTTTATTTCTTCAAGCCTCTCGTAAAGAAAAAAAAAAGAGTTTCAAGGCAAGAGAGAAGTCTCTAGAAGAAGCTAGAAGGAATTAGAGGTAGGATAGAAAAATTAGAATAGAAGCAGAAACATAAAAAAACTGATTCAGAAAAGCACAAAGTTAGAGATTCATTCACCCTCAGACCTTCACTGACTGTTGCTTCTTCTCTGTACCCTGAGAGGGTCTTTGGGCTGGACCCCAAAGGCTCTTGTTAAAACACACACACACACACACACACACACACACACACACACACACACACACACCTGCTCCATCAAGGCCACACCTCCTAATCCCTATCAAGCAGTGCCACTTCCTAACAACCCAGCGTTCAAATCTATGAACCCCTGGTGCCATTATTCCTCAACCTGTCATGCCTGAGTCGCGAGACACCCCAGCAAGACCACACAGAGCTGACTTCCCATGCAATTGCACAAGGTTTCTTGATTGTACAGGTTTGCGAGCAGGAGCCCCTGCCCCACACACTCATGCACCGGATGAAGGAGAGAGGCCCTGAGGACACAGTGCAGGGGATCTTTAAAGGGAAAAACCTGCAAGAAGGTAGTTCCCATGCCTTGACTTGAACAGATTGGGTAGGGAGATAGTTGGCTCTAAAAGTCGACAGGGAATTTTTGATAACTGTAAAAATGCTTGTTTGTCTAGCTTCTGATTGGCTGTTCTCGAGTCTCTGGAAAGTCAGGATGTTTTTGAGCGGGGTGTGGCTTTTCTCTGAATTCACAGGTACATGGGGTGGGGCGCTCGGGGTGGGGTGCCTTCTAGGTTAGACTCTCACAAGGATAGGGCCTAGGTTTCAAAAAGCTTTAGTCTTGTCTCTTCAAAACCACCACAAGTTCTGGTATTCTAAAAGCATCTATTTGATCCATTGTGCTAGGAAAGGCTTTCTGTTGGGCTTTTTAAGTCCAACTTCATTTCTGTTTGCGTTCTCTTCAGTATTTCTATGTCTTTCCTGAAATCAGTTTTCAAATCCTCAATTGACTTTGCCATTTCATTTTCGCTGTACGCTGTGTTTTCCCGATCTTCACTCAGTTATTTCTTGCCGCCGTCTTTGAGTTCACTGGGGCGTTTGTTCTTGCCTTTTAAAAACTCCTTGAGTTCTTTGGAGTTTCTGGTTGTTCTTTTAAATCTGAGTCCTGGGATTCACCCAGATCATTCTACTTGGAGACCATTTCTACAGGAGTCCTTGGTTAGAGGCAGGGATATGGCATCTTGGCCCTTCCTATTGTTTTTGATTTTGCTATGTGACGTGGACATGCGGTTTTCTTCATGGTGTCTGATCTGAGAATCTTGCCTGTGTCAGGATGGGCCAGTGTGGGAGCTGCATATCTAGAACTCACCCTGGGAATGGGTAGATATCATGGACATGTTTAATTTAGGGGGAACTCACCAGGAAAAGTGTGCAGAAGCTGGGAAACCAGAACCAGGGCTTGAATTACGGTGCTGATGT